GCTCGCGCGGCCGCATTCTGGACTAGCTGAAGTCGCCGAAGGAGGAGGAGGAGAGAGAGAAGAAAGTGATGCATAGGGTACAAATATGATGTATGGAGAGCAGAAGAGCCAATAATTGTTTTGGGGAGTTGATGGTAAGACAAATTGATGTAAACATTTAACAATATAATATGATGTTGGTTATGTAATAGTATACATGCCGTTATTTGTTATGAAAATGAAAAAATAAAAAAACTTTATTTAAAAAAAATGGAACTTTGGGCAATACTTTTCCTTGGGCTCTGATTTATTTTTGGATGCTATTTGGAACGCTGACATTAACCTGAATCACTTCCTGTCACTGAGAAGGACCAACAGTGAAGGTTTCAATCACCTCTTGTGTGTTTTTATTGGTGTTTGACCTTGGACAGGACAAAGGTGGATTCAGACTATGTGAATACTCAAGAGAATATGTATGTGGCCCTGGGCCTGACTATTTTATGGTGCCACCTCTTGCAATGTGGAGATTGGCATTTTTAGAATGATTTGGAAGCGAGGTGGCCCTGGCACCCCTAAGCTTTGGCACCCCAGGGCCAGTGTGTGTCCTCAGCCTCAGCTGTTGCTGAGAGCATCTTCCCATTCAGTGAGGGTTGCTCTTTCTGCCCTCCTCCAGCCTCACTTCAGTTGGGGTGCAGAGAAACTCCTCTTTCTTTTCTTTTACAATGTCAAGGAGGAAGGAGATGGCAAAGAAGTGAGTTCCACTGTGGCCAAAACACAGAACCAAAGATTGATTGATTTCTATGCCTTTGTTTATACAACCCAGGATTGTATTAGCATTTTTGCCTGCTGGCTCATATTCAAGATGTTGGCAAAAGGTCTGCCTTGATATTAAAAATTACCAAAAGATGCATTTTTGCCTACTAACGAATGATGAAACAACAGGAAAATCATTCTAAGACAGTCGCACAACTATTATGGATGACTACCTAGAAAAACAGTCTAATGGTTGCCCAGGGGGTATATCAATAACTCGAAAAGCGGCTGTAAGGCTTACCTTGCCCACCCCTCTTACCTTCTTGCAAGAGAGCTCCGTGTTTTGGGGGCCAAGCATGCCGATCCAGCCTTTGAAGCGTTCAGATGACTCCTTCAGCAGGCCTCGAATGCTGGCCTCCAAGACTGGGTGGGAATCCTGGATCTCTCCTTGCAGGTTTTCCTCCATCAGCTCAGGTAAGGAGAGTGGCTGAGCATCAGCCAACAGATAAGAGCTGCTGAGCTGCAGGATCATCTCTTGGGGGATCTGGAGAAAGGAAGAGGATCCTTTGAGTGAGTCTACAAATGAAGACAAAATCGGCTTACACCAAGGGGCAAAGTTCTCCCTCTCCAGGCAGACCCTTCTGCTGCTCGCTGTTTTTGCTAGAGGATGGCGATAGTCAGTGGGAGCGGTACGGTGGCCTAGAGATGGAGCTCTCACCTCACGATCAGGAGGCTGTGAGTTCAATCCTAGGTAGAAGTAGATATTTCTCTCTCTGGGCACAATGAGTACCATATTTTTTGGAGTATAAGACACACTAAGATTTTGAAGAGGCAAATTAAAAAAAAAAGTTTTTACAATCTGCAGACCTCCC